TATAACTTTTTATTTAATATTATTAGTTTACACTCACAATAGATTTTGAGCTCTCTGTATGCATGGAGTTCTTGCTTATACCATGTTGTACAAAGTGCCAGACTACGATGTGGTGAAATCAAACGTCATAAAATAGCTAATAACATTGTAAAGTCAAAGGTTGGGGTAACCTGATTATCTAAGGGAACTGTGTCTATGAAATGCCTCCCAGTGGCACAGCACTATGTGGGCGGGCTTAGAACGCTAGAAACCGGATGGGCAGAGCACAGATAGCCCATTGTGTAGCTCTGTGCTTAACTTCAAACAAACAAAGCGTCTATGAATGAAAGATACCCAATTATGTGTAGTTATCTAAGGAGTTTCAGTTAAAATGTTTGCATATTTTATAACAAATAAAATCATTATTATTAAGATGCAATACAAATAAAATAAGCGCGTCAAACTGAGAAATGAATGTTATATTAAACTTCTAAATATGTAATTTGTATAATGAGACAGGTTCTATGGAAATCATGAACGATTTATTAGAACAGCAAACAATTTTATCATACACCTGTAGAAAGGTGTGTAATTCAACATTTCATCTATAATGACAAAACCTTACCAAAACATATATAATGACAAAATATAACATTAAATTATTATAAATAACTTCTATAAGCGTATATCAGTTCATATTAAACATTCAGTCCTTCTTTGGTCTTCTTCGTACTCCAATAACCTCTGGAATGCGACAAAGCATGCTGTCGATGAAGTTATTGATGTAATCCACCCTGATCCCATCCCAACTTGTCATTAGAAGGCGCTGCAACTCAGTACAGTAGCTGGTTTAGAGGTCGTGGTTTGCAGTTTTCCGTCTCGGTTCTATCCAACAGTTTTCAGTGGAATTTCAATCTGGAGACTTTACTGGCAATCTTAGAACACCCTCCTGGTTGAGGTAATCCTGTATAATACGTGCATTGTGAGCAGCGGCATTGTCATCCTGGAACACAAAGTTATTACCAAACCTTCACTTAGTATATGGCAAAAATATCATCTCCATGTGATGCCTTTAGGAGTCGCCATTGACGTTTTCCTAAGGATTGAAGAGCAGTGTTTCCACCATGTTGAATAGCTGCCCAAACATGTACTGCACCACCTCCTGTTTGTTCTCTGTGGGAGAGAAAGTCTTTCCTCATCTGTTCTCCAGGCAAACGACGAACACAAATCCTACCATCAGCTTTAACAACGCCAGAAATGGGACTCATCTGAAAAGATGATATGTCACCAGTGTCCTAACTGTAAGTTGGCATGCTTTCTTGTCCAAGTAACACAGTGGCAATTCTTAATTCTTCCTAATATCAGTTTGCAGATAGCCCTTCTTGCAAAATATCCTTATTTGGTCAGTCTAATATTCACTGTTTTTTTCTGGATACCCCGGAATGAATATATTCATGCCATTCCTGTCGTGAGGTGTTACAAGACTTCTATCAACCTTGACGTGTTAACCTTGTAATAAAAAACGGTCATCTCGGGCAGTAGTTTTCCAGCGTCTACCAGTAGACATTCCTGGGACAACGTTTCTTGTGGTCCAATGACGTTTTAGGATTCTGGATACAGTACACTGGGGTACCCTACTGTTCTGGCAATGTTCGTTTGTTTCATACCATTTCTGGACAGTCGAACACTTTGACGCCCTACAACTTCTGGCACGTGACGAGGCATGACTCTACACCAAGTACAGAGAAATTATCTGAACAAAGCGTTGATCTGTTTCGAAAAAGACTATACCAAAAGTAAACGCTTTTATCCAAAAGAGGTATGTATGTGTGTTTTGACAAACACATGCTTAAAAGAAATCATGCAGGCCAGAATAGCAGCTCATACATGTTTGTCCAATCATACGCTACCTTCTCTGTTACTACTCGAGCATTTACACAATAACAACTCCACGCATGTAGACAGTAACATCAATATAGAACAGTATGCAAACATTTTGGTCAAGACTGTATTTTCAATGCTGTAATTTTTATTAGCTAGAGATAACTGGGTTTTAACGAGGACATTAAGATATACCTAGAAAATTCTAATATGACATCAGAGTTTTTCTCGTACATTCAAAGCTAGATTATAAATACAAGATACTTGTGAAAATTGAAGATAGTAAAGGGAATCAGTCATTATGTTAACTATCTGGATTAGTTTGTGCAAGTAAGTTAATTTTATGTTACGTTAGTCCTAGGTTATTAGAAAGGTTTGAATGTCATTTGTAACGCAAGCCTAAAACAATTTATGACAGAGTGAAAGGGTTCAAACTTGTAAAAACGTTAAAAAAGGAAATATCCTCAAAAAATAAATTTTTTTATTTTCAATTTATAATTTTGGAAGCGACTGGAAGCTTTGTTTGTTTGTAGTTAAGCACAAAGCTACACAATATTGAAGCAGACATATAAACCTGAATATGAACACAAGATGTTTAATAGATTGCTGCTTTTTTAACTTCCGAATTTAACTAATAACCATTTGTTTTAGACAAGTATTAACAAAAAATATCAGTAAGTTGTATATCCAACTTAATAAAACCAAAATTACATTAAATTCAATGCTCACTACTCTAAGGGATGTGAAGGCTTGCCTCTCATGAAAAGTGAAGGAAAGTGATTGACCTAAGAAAAACCCAAGCATATTTTAAAATATAAATATGTATTCGCAGTTACACAGTAAACTTCCAAACTTATACATCTCTGACCCACCCAGACACATCTTATTATTATTAGTTATTAAACGTATCAAATAACAGTTATAATTACATTTTCTGAATTCAATTTATTCTGTTAGGTAACTGATTAGTTTATTATCATATTCAACTTATAAATAATTTCACAATGTAGACACAGTCACGTTCGATTGTCGTGCCATCTATTATTACTAAACAGTAACTCGGAAAGCAAAATCCTCAAATTCAAAGTTTATGTCCGTAGCTCTATATTAAGCCAACAGTTAGAACTAATCCCTTATTATAATATTGTTAATGGGTGTATTTCCGGATTTTATTTTTGTGAGATTACTAAAAATTACTCAGAACCATAAGTTTTGCAGAGCTTCATAAAGTAACTATTGCATTGGTTGGAATACACGGGATGTGTTAAAATAAAAATATATATACATAAATCTCACTTTTACAAAATTCTTAATACAGGTACACGAACATTTAAAAAAAGCATAGTTTATTAAGCACGAAAAAAGATATGTGAATTTCAACTTTTGAAGAAACGTCTTTTTTTTTAAGAAAAAAAAAACATTACCACGACAATTTTCATATCGAGGAGCGTCATAACGGTTGATTTTTATTAGTCTTCCATCTTGATAAATGAAAAAGAAAAACGAAAACCAAATTATTCTTAATATACACAAGTCTTGGGTAAGAGTAACTTTCAAAATGCCTTCTTGTAATTGTATAAGTCTGACTATGTGTAATGACTTAAATATTTTACATTATTATTAAACAGTTTTAATTCATATAAAAAATTACAGCTAGGAATTTTTGTTTATACTTCAGTTTTGCATATCAGCGACATGTTTCATAGGTGGAACATTGTTGAATTCGAACAAACTTAACGTCACTGGAAACCTCAACAAATATATATATTTGAAATTTTTCAGATCAGAACTTTTGTATATTTCTTATAACATTACACTTGATAGTACACAAGACTCTTTTGCATATTTCTTTATTTTGCAGATATAAATAAAATCATTCAACACATGTTTGTCACAATTAAGCTATTTTTATATTACTTTATCAAAATATTATATCAAACATAAGTGATTCTGAAACATGTGCAAATTTATGTAATTATGACACTAACAGATAAAAAAGGCTTATATATATATTATAGTAATGTTTAACAAAAAATATTATATTTGTTTTATTTCCCAAATAAAGAAAAACTGACGAAAAATAGAAAAAGTGAATGTAAAATAATGGTAAATATAAAATTAATTTCATCATATAGCTAAATATATTTAAAAAAGTATATAATGAAAACATAGAGAGTAAACTTGATGGTTATTACTCTAAATATGTTATAGTACTTTTAATGACACTTTTACAAAATTAAGTTTTTATGAATGAATATTTAGAAGTGACGGATTCAGATACACCGTCATGATAAAACGATAATTCTATTTATGATTTCCTATTCCATAAAATAACTTCTCGATGAAATAACAGACCACTTCATAAAAACGCCCAAATAAATATAGCAAGTCAAAATTTGAGTGATGAAATATATTGGAAATTAACTTCTAGTTTTAATGATATTTTTATAACTTCACCGTAGATAAAAATATATTAATTTCGTAATTTCTTTTTTTCCTGTCACCTTTTATTGCAGACCAATGGTTCTTGTTCTCATATATTTAAAACAAAATCACTTAGTGAAGATAACAAGAATTCTGTTTGTATTTATTTTGACAGTTTAATATTTTTCGATGTTTGTTTTCTAATTTCCTAATTCATGTCACAAGGAACAAGTGCAAAGAATAAATCTAAACGAACTGATTACAATGAATCAAATGTGTGTGTGGTTAGAGATATTCAATGTAATGGTAAACTTTCGTCACAGTGTAGCGATCCCAAGTTACAGGTTCATCGAATCAAAAATAGTTTATAAAATACAAAATGATTTCATTATGCAAATACTGTTAAACAAGAAGTTTAGTGTGACCAATAGCAATAATTTCTAACAGTTAATGAAAACATAGCCGCTAGAGGGAAGGGCCGGTTATTATTCATCTGGAGTTTATAAAATGCTGTTATTGCACCTCGAGGACTGTATGTCTTAGATAATTGATAACTTGGTTAAACTGGTACATTTTTCGATTTTTTTTTACTTAGTACTATCTTCTGAATCATTATTAAATAAAGTTAAACTGAAAACAATTACATATCTAAACAGACAAAAAAATATATAAATCATCATGAATAAGTAAACTTTTATAAGAAAAAATGTGTAAGAAATATATAGACGTCTATTTTTCCGATATCTGTAATATAATACTGTATTGAGAAATTATTTCACTTTTATGTTTAGCTGGTTTACTGTATGAACACAATACAAATGATGAATTTCATCTTGTAAAAATATTCCTGGTTTATTGATATTTCAGAATTACCAGACTTTTGTCAACGTCCTATAATTCCTGCTTTGGACAATATGTATTCCATTCATTCAACTACAAGAATTTGTCAAAAATCTTTGAAGTAAGCCAACTCCTCTTCTTCTATTTTTTCCTTAATGTTTTTCCACTTTTTGTCGGAAAACCGGTCAAAGTAACGAGTATCCCCATTATGGCTGACACTGGGAATGATAGGAGGCTGTGAAAAAGATAACGTTGTTGGTGTATTCAATTACAACTTATGACTTTTAAACACGTGTATTTTTATTATTATGACTATATCCTATATTTTTAGAAAATATATAAAACTTTTAGATTAAGTTGATTATAATACACTTGTCACGACATTAAGCTTAGTTCCTTTTTCTAATAATTACATACCCTTAATAAAAATAACTGAATCCATGGAGAAGCTTAACAACTTTAGCTATGCTCATTCCGTTTCATCAGTGCATGAACTCTTATGGGACTTAGCAGTAAATAACGATATACTTATTTTCCAATAGCCCAAGCTCTACTATCGTGTCTTCTGAATATAAATACAGTAATAATTTTTGAAAATGCAAACACAGCCTTAATATAAAGCACTTTAATCGTTTGGAACCGTTGTAAAAATGTAAAGCTATTTTGTTACTAAAGCTTTATCTACTAGTTCTGAACGATAGTAGATATAAAGATAGTCAAAGCGAACGTGATTTCATCGTGTTTAGACTGGGTTTCTGGAACTGGTCTTAGAACGTTTAGACACCTAATTGTGTCAAAGTCAACTGGTTTGTATTTTTAAGTTGCTGTTGTTGTTATTTGAAGTTAAGCACAAAACTACACAATGGGCTATCTGTAAGTCCGCAGACATACCGCTGTGCCACCGCGTGGCATTGTTAAGTGGTTCTTCAAGATGGCTTGTTTTGTCTTACACCATCTAATGTTACGGTATACGTGTTTCTAGTTATATCAAACTATCAAGTTCGAAGTATTCATATTGACTAAACCTTACACCACTGCACAAATGCAGCACAAAACAAAATAAATCTTTTTAAATATACCTAAAATGGCATGATCTAAGTACATTAAAATGGAGATATGAAACATTTCCTTAACAAATACAAATAATTTTGAAGTTAAATTTCATTAGATATTATTATTGTTAAATCATAAAATAAGTCTATTTGTACCATTGTATGTTATATATTTTAAACCAGTTTCAAATTAAACAATCTTTTTTCAAGAATCTTGGTATAAATGACAGACTTCATTATGCTACAATATTTATTTATAATATTTGTGGAAATGTACGATAATTTTTAAAATAATTAAAGATACGTTTTGAAAGGTTTTGGTTCCTGATATTAAAGAAAGTGTTGTGTGTTTATCAATAGAAATTACTAGTTTCAGGTTCATCAGATTTAGACTAACTGACCTACTCTTATTGTTGGATTTAGTATTATTGTCTCAAATTCATCATATTTAGATTAACTGACCTATACTGGTTGTTGGATTTAGTATTATTGTCTCAGGTTCATCAGATTTAGACTAACTGACCTACACTTGTTGTTGGATTTAGTATTATTGTCTCAGGTTCATCAGATTCAGACTAACTGACCTACACTGGTTGTTGGATTTAGTATTATTGTCTCAGGATCATCAGTTTTAGACTAACTGACCTACACTTGTTGTTGGATTTAGTATTATTGTCTCAGGTTCATCAGATTTAGACTAACCGACCTATACTGGTTGTTGGGTACAGTATTATTAGTCTCAGATTTATAATTTACACTAACTCACTTACATTGGTTGTTGTATGTAGTATTAATAGTTTCAGCTTTATTAGATTTATACTAACTGACTTACATTGACTGTTGAATGTAATATTATTAATCTCAGATTTATAATTTATACTAACTGACTTACATTGGTTGTTGAATGTAGTATTATTAGTTTCAGCTTTATTAGATTTATACTAACTGACTTACATTGACTGTTGAATGTAATATTATTAGTCTCAGATTTATAATTTATACTAACTCACTTACATTGGTTGTTGTATGTAGTATTATTAGTTTCAGCTTTATTAGATTTATACTAACTGACTTACATTGGTTGTTGAATGTAGTATTATTAGTTTCAGCTTTATTAGATTTATACTAACTGACTTACATTGACTGTTGAATGTAATATTATTAATCTCAGACTTATAATTTATACTAACTTACTTACATTGGTTGTTGAATGTAGTATTATTAGTTTCAGCTTTATTAGATTTATACTAACTGACTTATTAGTCTCAGTTTTATACTAACTGATTTACACTGGAGTTGAACGTAGTATTACTAATCTCATGTACATCAGATTTAGGTCACTGACTTACACTGACTATTAACGCAGTAATATTAGTCTTAAGTTCGTCACAGCTGATTTACATTGGCTGTTGACTGTTTAATGTATTATTATTTTTCATAACAAATCTATCGCATGCATAAGAGCTTTATGATTCTATCCATAAATGTTGGAGCAATAACCATGTTAACATTACAACAGATTATGCAACTTCCTACAAATACGTCGCTTCTAAGATATTAAACTCTAATGATTTATTTTAATATGAAATCATACAAACCTTGCTAAGGTACCATGTGTATCATAAATGCTGTTAGGTGTCAAAATTAGAAACTTTAACCTATTGTCAACTTAATAGGATTCCACTTTCACAGGAGGTGCACATTTTACAAAACTTTTTATCAAGGTCTAATCAAACTCTACAACTAGGCCTGCTGCTCGATATGCTAAGTTGGTAGTTATAAGCAAAGTATTACGTTTTTTGATTCCGTAGAAACTGCCGCTCAAACCCTATTGTTTAAGTTATAATGAATATTAAGAAAAAAAAAGACTTGGAAAATTATTTCTTGTTTCAGAAATTCGCGTAAAACTATTCAAAGGATAGCTGTGCTAGTCGTTATAATTTTGAATTGATAAACAATAGGGAAGGAAGCTAGTCAACAACGTTCACCGCCAACTCTTGAGCTATCTTAATTGAATAGTGGGTTTTGAGAAGTGTTCTCATAACACATCCACCGCCCAAAAGTGTGGGTCGTGTTTTTTTTTTCTTGCGTTAGCTAGGCGCAAAACTTGAACACTCAGATCCACAGTCTGGCATAATAACCACTAGGCCAGACACGATCCACTCGGAATATAATTTGGCATAAACACATAATATTAACTTTTTTCTTTCCATTTGATTTCCCTAAAGTATTCACCAACAACTTTCTTGTCAGACCATCTATATATCATATAATAAGCTGTGAGGAAAAATCATTTATTATTATAGTATAAGCTGTAGTTTCTTGTCAGACCATCTATATATCATATAATAAGCTGTGAGGAAAAAATGTTTTATTATTATAGTATAAGCTGTAGTTTCTTGTCAGACCATCTATATATAATATAATAAGCTGTGAGGAAAAATCTTTTATTATTATAGTACAAGCTGTAGTTCTTTGTCAGACCATCTATATATCATATAATAAGCTGTGAGGAAAAATATTTTATTATTATAGTATAAGCTGTGGTTAAGAAGGTCCCTTTAGAGAATATTCCATTTTATACTACATCTGCTTCGGAGTTTCTTAGTTTGTTTTAGCACAAAGTTACACATCAAGTAAAGAGAACCTATTTTCAAAAAAGAAAGTAGTTTTACCTATGAATGAATAAATTAATTAAACCAAATTTTAAATTACACTTAAACGTTTTTGCATTTTGACAAAAATGTTATACAAATTTGTCATATCAGAACTATAACTAACATTCATGTGATTTCACGAGAACGATATCTGTGAAAGTTTTTATATTAGAAAATTCCTAACTAAAAGCAGATTTAAGACAAAAATATTTAATTTGAGAAATGGTTGAAAACCAAAATAGATTGTGATATAATTTTCTAAAACAATTCTGTGTTAATCGTGAAATATCACAGTAAACCAGTAAGTACCCTTACAGGGTTAATTCAATATCAAAATGATTTCTTGCCTTGACACGTTTGTTTAAAACATCATCCCATACGATTCCTTTAAACCATCTATGTCTTTTAACGTCTTCAGCTTCATTCTAAAATAAGAAGAAAAAACTGACAATTAATTAAATGAAATATTTTGAATGAAGTGCTACTAACTTGAAATTATAAGATCATTAACCTTTCATTCATTGCTTCACCCATGTTTCTGCCTTCGGGTATTAATCAATAATCCAAAACTACAGTTTGATTTATAACTTAGATACATAGTTAAACATATCTATCAAAATATATATATGTTTTAGATACAGAAGAAAACTTCACTGATGAACTTCCATTAAAGATAAGTCATTCTTTTCTAAAAACAAAAACAAAAAACTTATTATTATTACGCGTTGTTTGCTTGTTGTTCAGGACAAAGTTACACGACGGGATATCTACGCTCTGCCCACCACAGGTATCGAAACCTAGTGATTAGTGTTATAACCCCTCAGACCTACCACTGAGCCATAGGAGGCTATTTTCTATAAGCTGCTAAATTTTTACATTTACCATATAAACTGTCCCAGCTCATGAAGGGAGTAATAGTTCATATATAAGTTGTATTTCCATCCAATGAACAAAGCTGAACTTAGAATTCATTTTAGAAACATCATTTAGTCACCTGTATATATCTGGTTACTTCCCGTGTATCGGAAGTAGTTTCCTAAATAAATGTCATGTATTAGAATCAGTGGCTGGCTAAATATTTTTGTTTGAAAAAACACATTAGTAACAACAACAAAAAGGACATTCAGAAACAGGAATCCCCCCTCTCCCCCTAGGATAAATATAATCTAATCATTTGCGGATAGACTTCAGCTCGCTAGGCGTTATGGAAGATTTTGTCTTATTTTCCAGTCAGTGCAACGCCAAGCTCTTTAATGTCGAGTGGGTTAAGATGTAGGCAAATAGGTGTAAAGAAGTACATAAGTGTTTCGAAGAAGTTAGATCAAGACTTCTAATTGGTCAGTCCATATATTCTATGTTATCATCAGGGTCGGCTTATAAACTGAAGAAGTACGACACCGGCTTTTACTTTGCACTAGCATATCGGTGTAAAGTTTACAAACGGAGGCTAATATCACTTCTATCAGAACATTTGTCTCTCGGATATGCCTGTTTGTTTGTTATTAAGCACAAAGCTACACAAAGTACTATTTGTGATCTGCCCATCACGGGTATCTAAACCCGGTTTGTAGCAGTATAAGTTCGTAGGCATACTGCTGTGCTACTGGGGAGCATTCGGATATGCAATAAGATCTGCACATCTATCGACACTGATGTTACCCCACACCCTAAGTCACAATCTGCATTGTCATAATACGAATATCATCTAACTTTGGCTCTCCAGGCATCACCATGGCAATTATAGCGATACATACGTTAGAATGCAGTGGTATATCTATTCATTTTTTGTTCCATATAAATCTAAGGAGATGTACAATGGTGTACAGGAAACAAGTTATATGCTGAAATACAACATTATCACTACGAACCCACATGCACCATAAGCTAGTGTGATACTCGGGTATCCTTATCTCTGACAAATAATTTAAAGTTTCCTCAAAACGCAGATTCAAAAACTGTTAGGTTAAGAAATGACCTAAAACACATAGTAAAGGAAAAACAAATAGATAAAATCTTTATTTATAAAAATGTACTAAATATTAGCACTTGGCCACACTATAATTTACTTGTGATTACAGTAGCCATTGGTGTGGAAGAAGGATTTCCTCAGTATCTGTACAGGACAGACACAGGAAGAATAATCACATCCGTACAAGACAAGGACTGAAACAATGACGCTATATCGCACTTTCAAGTCAATGAAAGGGTCCTAGTGTTGCATCCAACATTCAGTATATTACCTACGTCAACCACTATTCCATATGACTCAATCAATGGAGAGAATCCCCAACTTGTAGAAATATCTGTATCACCCATTGAGATGGTCTTGTCCTGTCCCAGAGAGAAGTCATAGAAACACGGCCATCCTGATTCAAGCTTCTGTCAGATAGTTGTTACCGTATTTAATCTTTATCCTAGTACTTGTTACGACCTATTGGTATCCAGTTTACAAGGATGTCACAAGCTACATACAAAATACTTACAAGAAGAAGTAAAAAATGCACCTAATGAACCTTCCTATGGGTATAGTCTAAACTAGTTAGCAAGGGTGAAATTGTTAGATACTTCATATGTGACATTATCAGTTGTCCCTGTGTTTCTCTGAGTTCCAGAATTTGAACTATGGCAGTCTTATTTCCATCACACATTTTATCTGGCCACCACTAGGTCACATTATCACACATTTGTACGGAAAATTAAAGAGATTACTAAAATAGAAAAAAACAATTAAAGTTTTAGTCAAGGCAGGTACTATTAACAAAAAGCGTCTAAACAGCCTTGTACTTTGTCAAAATAATCAAGTGCCATTTTTGAAACTGTATTAAATACTTAAAAAGTATTACTTTATTGTTGTTATGTCTTTTCGTAAACGGATAGAGAATGCTGGTAAAAACCGGATTTACATTATATATGTGCTATAATATTCGAGATGTCCTTCATCGTAATCACTTTAATATTTCAAACTAATTTTGAGTTATTTCTTGTTTCATACCATGGTATTTGGCTTTCATTATGTATGAACATATATTTTGTCGTCTATACTTTTAAATCAGTATTTATATTTGCCACCACAACACAGTACGAGCGTAACAAACCACAAAAATAAACTACAGTGAAAAATCAAACAATAATCAAAACGAAGTATCTGTTCCATAGGTGGAAGTTTTACACATTTGATCTCTCAAAGATTATTTTAAAACATAAAAAAGATAAATAATATTAATCTTTCATCGTCCTAGCAACGTATTTGAACGTATCAAGTACTGCCATCAATAATTTGTAGACTTTCATAATCTTATTTTAACACAAAAGTTGTATTCAACCTCAGATAATTAATAATCTATATCGTATTATTATTACTGTATATATATATACGTCTATATATGTGTGTGTGTGTGTGTGTGTATTACATCCAATTATTAGCGCCTGAGAATACCCCTTGGTGTACCAGATATTGTTTCTTGTATAAATAATTATTAGTATACGTAGATAGTATCAGAAGAGCTTATCAATAAAATTACTTATTTTCAAATCCATATATATGACATACAAGACCAACCAAACTTACCTTCATATTGCCCAGTCTCTTTGTTCGATCTTGAACCAACAACTTTTTAATTAAGTCTCTAAAAAAAAGAAATAAATAACATAAGGAGGCTGCTTATACATAGAAAAAATAGCGTTTTAAAAAAGTATTTATAAATCATAAGCCACATTTTTGTGTGTTTATAGTCGCACAATATGCAGTTGTTCTGATAATGTTCTAGATATTCAGTGAGTTTTGATGGGCGTTTCCCGTGTTATTTGAAGTCATTACAGATCATGCAACGCCATTTCAGAATTATTGGTTGCTAAGTTACAGAATAAGCTATCAGCGCTTGGCCCAACACGGGTATCGAAACCCGTTTTCTAGCATTATAAACCTTTCAGATCTAAACAAACGCAGGATAACCTCATAAAACCAAATTTTGCGTGGCTGAAACATAATTTTACTATAATGGACGTAGCGTGTATGTCAGTATCTATGTATGTAATCAAAACTCCTTCGCCATCTATTGAATGG